TGAATCAAAGTGTGAAATATGATATATCAAGAACTATGTAATGTTTTGAACAACCAACAATAAAAATTTAAAAAAAAAAGAGAAGAGCCTCGTGGGGCTGGTGGCTGCTGTGGCCCCGTGACCCTGCTGGACTCCTCACTTCCCGCCCTCCCACGGGCTTCCCATGCTTGGCAGCCTCCTTTCCCAGCCTCCCGCCTGCCTCCTACTTCACAGAAACAGCGAAGGCGACCCGGAGAAGGCGTGGACTCACTCTGACCACCCCACCCACCTGCCAGCTCCCACAGCCCCCTGGACACCCCCCGTCCCAGGCCCTCCTCTGAGCACCCATCTCGGCCGCCCCTCTCGCCCATCACCAGTTCTCTCCTCTCTTCAGAATCTCCCCAGCGCGTCCCCCATTGTCAAGGAAAAGCAGAGCCTCCCTGGGCTCAGCACCCACCCCCACCCCCCGCCACCACCCTTCTTTGCTCCCCTCTGCCGAGGGTTCCTCGGGCACCTGGGTGGCCCCTCCACTGACTTCAAACCCCAGCCCAGTCCTGTCTTTCGATGGCCCCTCCTCGTCCCTTTGGCAGCTTTGACAGCAGCGTGCACCCTCCCCCGAGTTCTCCAGACCCCTCCTGTGCTGGAAGCTCCTCTGGGGACCCTGGCCGCGTCCTGTCCCTCCTTGCTGAGCGCAGCTGTTTGGGCTCCAGCCCCCACCGCGGCGGCAGTGACTCACACATCTGTATCTCCTAGCTGACCTCTCTCCCCAACTCCAGAAGCAGCTGCTCTCAACCTCTGTTTGGATGTCCAAAAATAACTGCCCGGGGGCTGCCTGGAAGGGATTCCCGCCCCAGTGACTTGCTGTCGCCTGTGGCAGCCCAATCTCCTTCAGCCCTCAGGGCAGCTGCGCCCTTCCTGGCCCGGGGAGAACCCCAGAGCCATCTTCCCGCCTGCCCCCTCTCCCAGACTGCCCACCAAGCCATCCGAGGCCCCTGCGACCCTGACCACTTCTCACCTCCGCTGCCCGCTCCGGGGCCCAGGTCGCCATCACCTCCTGCCTGGGTTACTAGGGTCTTCCAATGGCCCTACTGGACCCCACCCCGTTGGCGGCCTGTTGTCTACAAAGCCATCGGATCACAGCTCCCTCCATTCAGGACTCCAGCAGCCTCCGCGTTTCGCAGAGTCAAGTCCTTCAGGACTGTCCTGAAGTCCTTCCAGGGACCTGTCCTACAAACCCGCAGGCAGCGGCCCCACCCCCTCCATCTCCTCTGGCCTCCAGGTCTCTGCGCAGTTCGCAGAGGCTCCCAGCTTCCTGGGCAGCAGCCTGCTCCTGCCCCAGGGCTGGCCTGACCCTTCCTAAAGATGTCACCTGAGCGACCTTCCCCAGGCCCTGAGTGACTGCTCCTTCACCTCCTCCAGGTCACTGCGGCAGTCCTGCTTCGACCTCCGCCCCGTGCTCTGCCTTACTTCAGTTCGTCCGTGATTACTTTCCAACACTGCCAACGTTTCTTTGTTTTGTTTTTTTTTTTCATGAGAATCGAACCCAGTGCCTCATGCCTGCCAGGCAAGCGCTCCACCCCGAGCCACAGCCTGGCTCTTAATTATGTTTTTCATATTTATTTATATATTTGTTTTTGTTTGTTAGTTGTAGTGGACACAGTACCTTTTATTTTTATTTATTTATTTTTATGAGGTGCTGAGGATCGAACCCAGGGCCTTGCAGGTGCCAGGCGAGCGCTTCACCGCTGAGCCCCAGCCCGGCCCCTCCAGCTGTTTATTTTTAAATTGACAAAAGTCTGCGGGTGTCTGGCGAGCGACCTGAAGTTTTGGTGTCTGTTGCAGTGTCAAAGTTAAACCAGGCTCATACAGACCTTAGCTCGCCCCTTTGTGTGTGTGGTGAGAACCCTAAGATCCACTCAGCAATTTTCAAGTAGACTCTCCGTTGTCACTAACTGTGGTCACAGGTTGTGCAGAGGTCTCTTGAACTGAAATGTTGTGTAGTTTGACGGACTCCTCCCCAGCGTCCCCTGGACTCCTCCCCAGGGTCCGATGGATATCTAGTGCATGCACCTGTGTTGGCTGGCTCCTGCTTTCCTCCTGCCTGGAGCAAGCCCCAGGGCTCTTGGAGCAGGGGTCGCTGGTGAGCCCTCTCTGTGGCGCAGTGCCTGACACAGAGAGGGTGAATGTTCATTCCAAGGGGGAAGCCGCAGGGCACAGGGTGGAGATACCCGTCACCACCTGGTCCTCAGGCCCAGGAGCCAGCGGGGCTTGGACCACAAAAGGTGTAGCCTCTGAGGAGGCACCAGCAGCTGTAGTCCCTGGGGATGCTCAGGAAGGAGTGCTGCTCCTGGGAGTCACCTTCAGAGGATTCAGTGGAGCTGGGCGGGTGGAGCTCACCCACAATCCCAGTGACTCTGGAGGCTGAGGCAGGAGGATCCCTGGGTCAAAGCCAGCCTCAGCAGCTCAGTGAGGCCCTGAGCAACTTAGGAAGACCCTGTCTCTAAATAAAAACATTTTAAAAAAGGACTGGGGGGAGGCTGAGGCTGGGGCTCAGAGGTACAGCGCTAGCCTAGCATGCATGGGGCACTGGGTTCTCGATCCTGGACACTACATAAAAATAAAATAAAGGTATTGTGTCCACCTACAACTAAAAAGTAAATGTTTTTTTGTTTGTTCGTTTGTTTGTTTGTTTTAAAGGGCTGGGGATGTGGCTCAGTGGTGACGTTAAGCTCCCAGTGTTCAATCCCAGGGGGTGGGGTGAAGAATTAAATGTAAAGATTTGTCACCCCAGATAAGTAAAACCAGTGCTGTGATGGAGGGTGACGGGGACGGGTGGCACACGGAGGAGCCACTGCATCAGAACTGAAGGACTAAAGGAAGCCGGGCACATGAGGGGCGGGCACTCCTCCAGGTGGAGGGAGAGCAGGTGCCAAGGCCCTGAGGTTGGAACGTGTTCAAGGAACGGAAAGGCCAGCAGCGCTGGAGTTTAGTTGACAAATACTTTCTTGAAATATCAATATGTCAAAAAATGAATGTGACTTTGGGGAGGGCCTCTGTCATTAAACAATTTTTTTCTGCATCAGAGGGGGAAAACGCCCACTTACATTTATGTATTGTTTTGCAGTACTGGGGGTTGAACCAGGATGCTGTACCAGGGAGCTACAGCCCCAGCCCTTTTTATATTTTATTTTGAGACAGGGTCTTAACATAACTTTGTTTTCCTTTTGACAGTGTCTTGTTACATTGCCCAGGTTAATCTCAAATCCCTAGGCTCAAGCGATGCTCCTGCCTCAACCTCCCCCAGTGTCTGTCTGTCTGTCTCTCTCTATATTTTTTTTTTTTTTAGTGGTACAGGAATTTACCCCAAGGGTGTTCTAGCACTGAGCTCCATCCCTAGTCATTTTTTTTTTCCTTTTAAGATAAGGTCTTGTTAAGTTGCTGAGGTTGGCCTCAAACTTGTGATCCTCCTGCCTCAGCCTCCAGAGTTGCTGGGACGGCACGCGTGTACCACTGTGCACTCTTTAAAGCCCCTTGTTCTAGTGAAGCCCTAAACAGTATTAAAGACCCACTGTGAGTGACGTTCCATTCCATTTTCACAAATGAGTAGCACTTTGACGGTGTTTGCATTTCAAGTAGCGTTCAAATGCTTCTTAGAAGCACTAATGATAATATGCTCTCGAAATGCCAGCAGAAGCCTAAAAGCTAAAGAGATCTAGAAATGAACTTTGGTTGGATCCAACAATATCCCTCCCAAGGCTATCTCTCCCACTAAAATAAAAGAAAAAAGAAAAGAAAGATCCATCTTATTTGTAGTATTTGAAAAACAAACAGGTAAATAAAAAAAGAGACCCCCCCCAAGTCATCCTTGAATGTAGAGGGGTCTGCCCGAGGAGCCTGGGGCGCTCCAGCACTCAGGTGCTGTCTAGGGGACTGATTAATGGGGAAGAGGAGCACACACATTCTTCACCAGGGACCGGATGCAGACCTGGGTGATTCCAAAGACCACGAGGTTCTTTTTAAAATGAGATCCTTGGGCCCTGTCCCAGACCCTCTGAAACAGAAGGTCCCGGGTGGGGCCAGGAATGTTTCTGGTTTTTTTCCTTCTCCCTTTTATTTATTCTTCTCCCTTTTATTTATTTTTTAAAAGCTCACCACAAAATTTCTGGATAAAGATGACAAAAGAGGGCTGGGGCTGGGGCTCAGTGGCAGAGCACGTGCCTGGCGTGTGTGAGGCCCTGGGTTCGAATCTCAGCACCACATGTAAATAAATGAATAGAATAAAGGTCCTCCAACATCTAAAAACATATTTAAAAAAAAAAGATGGCAAAAGAACATCTGATCAGAAGATGGTGTGTCCCAACAAGAAGAGGTGAAAAAGAGAAGCCAGAGAGTCTCAGCCGCAGGAAAACAAGCAAACGAAGAAAGTCGCCCTCATCCTTGGCCCCAAGCTCAGGCAGGGAGCCAGGGAGAGGGACAGGAGGGGCTGGGGCAGCCAGAGAGGACGCCGACCCCACCCCCAGCCACAGGAAGGGAAACGAGTCCTGAATCAGTTCAGACAGAAGCCACCGAGGGCCACACTCAGGAAATGGTGGCAGGAAGACTCCAGAGGCAGACATCAGTGTCCACCCTCCGGCCTCTCCATGCCCCACGTCGAGGCTGAACGCCCCTGAATCACCCGAACTAGGACGTCCACGGCCCCGAAACTCCTTTGCCTAGTGGGGTCACCACCAAGGGGCCTCCGAGGGGTTCCAGAGACAGGGGGCCCGGGGGCTGGGCCAGGCCCTGTCCACCCCTCCCTAACCGCCTGTCCCCAGCTCCCAGCACACAGAGCACAGGGCCCTCGGGCCTTGGGGGGGGACCTCGGGAAGGAGCCACAGACCAGAGCAGGGAGAGGAAGCGCGGGGCACCCACAGGCACCGTCACCAACGGGGCGCCTCTGTGACACCCTCACCAGCCACGTCTCGTTAGACCTCCTCACCCACCTCAGGAATCGGGGGTCACCGTGTAGGCTTCACAGGGGACACACAGGGAGCCACCTGCCGGCTCCTACGGCTGTCAGGGTCCGTCCAGGTGGGACTCCGGAATCCCACGGGGGCCCACGGCCCGGTCAGACAGGGCAAGGCCACACGGCCCGCAACAGGGGGACAGAAAGGAAGGAGTGGAGGCCGCAAAGCCAGCCGGGAAGAAAGCCCGAGAATAAGCAGAGCCAGGCCCTGGGAGTGTCCTGCACAGTGACGGTGACAGCACGTAGCCCCCCACGGGACAGAACTGACGCGGTGGAGGGAGACCCAAAGGGGACCGAGGACCCCGACATCCCACTGTGGAACTCACACATAAAGCAGTTGTCACCGAGTCAGGTGAGGGACAGGCTCAAGGTGACCGTGGTGTGAACAGAACCAATAAAATCAGGGTCAGAAGAGACCTGGAGGAGGGGACACTGAGGAAAGTGTCACCTGCCGCTCTCCCGTCTGCCACCAGCAGCAGGACAGGAAGGCAGTCAGCCCTGACAAGGAAGTTCCCTGGAGCCAGCGCAGAGCCGCCTCTGCCTCCGGGGCCGCCGAGAGCCGGCAGGAAGCCGTCACCAGGGGATGGGCGAGGACAGTGCTGGCGCTGGGTTTTTCCACCAAGGGCCCAGGAAGCAACGCTGTTGGGACAGGAAAAGCACCACCAGACACCCGCCAAGCCCTGGGTGATGTCCTTCCTGTCACCAAGGAACAGCCGAGAAGCTGTGGCCCAGGGGACGAGCACAACCAGCCTTCGAGTGTAGCTGGAGGACAAATGGACACCCCCCCAGGCAAACCACGTGGCCGACTACTAGAGGAAGAAGACGTGGAACATCATTTATCTTTAGAAGTGACTCAGTTGAGTCTATAAAATTACTACATGGAAGAGAAAGATTTTATTTATTTTGTGTGTGTGTGTGTGTGTGTGTGTGTGCTGGGGATTGAATCCAAGGGCACCTAACCTCTGAGCCACATCCCCAGCCCTTTTTATTTAAAGACAGGGTATCGCTGAGTTGCTTAGGGTCTCACTAAATTGCTGAGGCTGGCCTTGACTTGCAATCCTCCTGCCTCAGTCTCCTGAATCCCTGGGATTACGGGCGTGTGCCAGTGTGCCCCACTCTGGAATTAAAAAAAAAAAAAAAGACACAATAATAACATCAAATGAGTTTTTATAATCTTTTGATAAATCTTATGAGCTCATATTTGAAGTTTAGCAAATTCTTCAGCTTTACTTTAAATGTCTTTTATACTATTAAAAGATGTTTAAATTTAATACTATATGCACACCATGCTATATGTGTGTGTGTATATACATATATATATATGAAATATTTTAGAAAATAATTTGTCCCTGGTTGCCCTGTATATACAATGAGCTCCAATAATATAACAAACCAGGACTTGAATGGTTCATTTAAAAGAAAGTATAGGGGGCTGAGGATACAGCTCAGTTAGTAGACTGCTTGTCTTGCATACACAAGGCCCTGGGTTCAATCTCCAGCACCATAAAAAAATTAAAATAAAATAAAGTATAAACTGGGCACAGTGGTGACACCCGTAATCCCAGGGACTCTGGACACTGAGGCTGGAGTATTGCAAGTTCAAGGTCAGCCTCAGCAAGACACTGTCTCAAAATATAAAAGGGCTAGGGATGTGGATCAGAGTCAGAGCACCCCTGGGTTCAGTGCCAGTATGTATAAATAAATAAGAAAATATCACCTGGGCGTGGTGGCACACACTTACATTCCCCGTGGCTCAGGAGGCTGAGGCAGGAGGATCACAAGTTTGAGGGCAACTGGGGCTGAAACCCTTTCTCAACATAAAAAGGGCTGGAGATGTACCTCAGTGTTAGAATGACCCTAGGTTCAATCCCCAGTATCAAAAAAGAAGAAAATTTTTTTTTCCATATTGCAATATCACATAGACTCAATTGACTTTGAATATAAAATGTACCGGGATCAAAATGGTCGATGTGTCAATTTTTTTCGGCCAATTTGTAGATTTGGAGAAAATGGAAAAAATGAAAGTGTGGAATCATAAAGTTACTTCTCTGAGAGAGGAGGGGCCGGGGGAGACGAAGCCGGAGGCCAGGCAGCAGCAGACGTGGGAAAGGAGGAGGCCCCCAGGGCCCTTGCTCCCCTCCGAGAGCCCAAGCCGGGCCCAGGAGAGGCAGCCCCAGAACCAGAGGGAGGGCTCCGCTCTCTGTGGGTTTGCCTAAGCTACGGAATACAGACAGACAGAAGCACCTGGACTTCCCGCCGGGCGCTAGGACGGGCAGGGACGCTGGGGGACGTGGGCTGGCCTTGCTCAGTGCCCACGGAGGCAGCTGGAGGCTGTCTAGGTGAGTGTCTTGGCAGGGCTTTCCATTGGTGCCTCGGGGGGCGGACGCACGGCTTGGACTTTGGTTTTTGATTTAAACATGTGGGCACAGTCTGGACTTGGGATGACCATGAGGAGATGGTGGCCTGGTAAGGAAAACGTCCCTCAGACGCAGGCCCCTGCACACCGAGTGAGGTCCGTGCTGTCGGGTTCCACAGGCAGGCGGCGCCGTCCAGGTGGGTGGCCGCTGGTAAGTTCCTGCTCTTATCTATCTGCTGCTTCTAGCGAGTCTTTCATGGCAGCCTTGATGCGGGTGCTGAGAAAATGGTGGAAATGACAGGTTTCATCCGTGGACATCTGTGATTTTTTTTTTTTCCCAGACTTTGACCTGTGTCATGTTTCAGCCCTGATGTCTCCATTGCCCTTCTACATAGGTGATGTGTCTGCATTTTTATTTCAGGAATCTTTCGAAGAAATACCAACCTAAGAAGAACTCGAAGGAGGAGGAGGAATACAGGTATGTCGGCTGATGACGGTTGGGGGCATTTAGACAGCAGCGGTGACTGTGAGGGACAGAGGGGACACACGTCCCTGAGACCAAGCCGACTCCATCTTCCTGTCTGAGTCTGTTTTTAAATTGGGGAGAACAATAAGAACATTTTCTAGTTGACTTTATTTTACACTGAGCCGCCAGAACTAGCTGGTCCAGATTGTTTCGGTTCCAGCAACGAGGACAAGTTCTGGGGCATAGCCTAAGCACGTGCAGGAAGTATGGGCCACATACATCCTGGAGTTGGGGTTTGGGTTTGTAATATCAGGACTTCCTGTCAGGCGAGTCATGCCTCCGAGAAACCTGGCCCTCTCAGTCCCAATGGAGGCTCCCCCACCCCCAGGACTCGGCGTTGAACCCAGGGTGCCTGATCACACCTAATCAGGGTGCTGAGCTACATCCTCAGCGTTTTTATCTGAGACAGAGCCTTGCTCAGTTGCTCGGGGCCTGACTTAGTTGCTGGGGCTGGCCTTGAACTGGTGACCCTCTGTCTCAGCCTCTGGAGCTGCTGGCGTTGTAGGTGTCACCCCCGGGCCCAGCTCAACTAAGCTGTGGACAGACGGAAGGCACTGCCTCTGCCTCTGACCTAAGCATCCGTCATGTCCGAGCCGTGTACGTGCAGTCTTCTGGGCACCGTGTCCACACTGAGCCTTGACCAACAGCTCTCGCCCCTGTCACACAGGCAGCGGGTCTCACAGATCGAGCATCTGGCGCTAATTAATTCTGAGCCGTTTTGGCGAGAGCCGCTGATGTGTAATGAACCACTGAGCTCCTCCGGGAGGCCGACGTCAATTAACCTGACATTGATCACCGTCTCCCCTGCGTGAAGCAGCGCGAGACCGAGTGGCCCTGTGTGACGAGCCCTACTCTGTCCCCTAGGTACACGTCGTGCAAGGCCTTTCTTTCCACCCTGAACGAGATGAACGACTACGCGGGGCAGCACGAGGTCATCTCGGAGAACATGACGTCGCAGATCACCACCGACCTGGCGCGCTTCGTGCAGGAGCTGAAGCAGGAGAGGAAATCGGTAAGGCGCCTTCGTGCACCTCCCGCTACAGGGCGAGCCAGAGGCCACGGGAATGTCCCTGGAGGACTTAGAACCAGAGAGAGACATGAAGTGGCGCCTGTTCCTAAAAAATGCCTCTGGGTCTCATGTGCAGTTCCAAAGGCCCCGCAGACGCCGGGAAGCCCACCAAAGGGCCAGGAGCGTGGGCCCTTTGAGGAATTAAGGGTATTTGGACCCACCGACACTCAGGGGGAGTGATGTCATATGGGGAGTAAACGGTGTTAGAACAAGGGCTTCAAAAAGAAGAAACTAACAGGCGACAAAAATGCTTACAAGGCCAGGCACGGTGGCCACGCCTGTCATCCCAGCAGCTCAGGAGGCTGAGGCAGGAGGATCGCGAGTTCAAAGCCAGCCTCAGCAATTGAGCGAGGCCCTAAGCAACTCAGTGAGACCCTGTCTCTAAATGAGATATTAAAAGGCTGGGGATGGGCTCAGCAGTTAGGCGCTCCTGGTTCAATCCCCGGCACGCCTAAAACTGTTTAAAAATGTTTACAAGGAGGACAAAACCCAGAAAGATGTCCTCTGCTGCCGCCTGCTTCCCCCAGGTGTTGACTTGGCTCCTCCGGCCCCTCCACGGCCTTCCGGTGGATCTGTTGTTGACCGGAGGGGAAATGTACATTTGAAGGACACTCACAGTTATGCTTTTGCCTTTGGATCCTTTCTTTGTGGTGCTGAGGACGAAGCCAGGCCTCAGGGGTGGAGGCCGCGCTGCCAGAGCCACAGCCCTGCAGCTGAGAGTCCCTTGATGCCATGGCCCTTGTCATTCCACTTCAAGTGCTTGTAAAGTGCAGAGTAACTTCCTACTAGTAATGAAGTCCCACAGCGGGCCACTCGCGTGCTTTTTAATATAATCTGAGTCTAGGAGTCTAGGGTAGTTCTCTGAGTGCTGTGGAGGCCCCCAACCAACAAGGTTGGCTCCTGCTGGAATGGAGGACTCACTAAATAATAATGACAGGAATATTGCTTAATTGCAACTGTGATAGTTGCTAGAAAGCGAGGAGACAGGTGCAGAGACACATGCAGTGGGAATCCCCGGCACGCTCACGACTGGGGGTCCCAGAGAGCCTGGGGGTCCCAGAGAGCCGAGAGTTAAGGCCTTAAGAGGAGACATGACGGCGAGTAGGATTTGCCTGGGTTCAGCCTTCCACAGGGAAAGCCAGTGCAAAGGCCCTGGGACAGCTGAGTTTATAGACATGCAGCACAGGACTGAGGGTATGCTCAGGCCTTCCTTTAAAATCACCTGTTGGTTTGAAAGACAAGGCCCATGGAGAATTCTTACTTATTCCTGCTGGAGCAGCGGCTGCTGCTGTCTGGAGACGTGTCTGATTGACTAGAGAGGGCAGCTGGGGTGTGGCTGCTTCAACCTGGAGAGCAGAGGCCCGGGATGCCGCTGGACGTCCTGAACACAGGACAGCCCTTCCCCATGGAACCTCCGGGCCCCAAACCGCCCCAAACCTCCATGTGCGGAGACAGAGAACCCCTGCAGTGGACCTGGGTGTGACAGGCTCTGCCGGGCGGTTCATTAAAGAACCTATTCTGTTTTACGCGGCCGAGGGAGCCGGGAGCAGCGCCCCGTGGCTCAGATACCTCACGTAGTGATGACAGGCACAGCAGATCTGAACTCAGTACCTGGCTGCTGCCCTGGTCCCTGAACTTCCCCTGACCTTGGAAAGTTCTATCTCCTTCCTGTTTATTGCTGTGATCAATGCTGCCTCTCGGGGCTGACCTTCCCCGATCCTTGTAGCTCAGCATTTTAGCCAACTCCCTAAACAGGACCCAGGCACTTACCTAAGGAGGAAATACCAGGTCCCTTTGTGGAGTGAGTCACGGGGTGGGAAGCCCCCTCCCTCCCTGAATTCCCCTGCTCTGACTGCATGCCTCCTGGCAGCTCCTGCCCAGGCCTTGTGCTCCTGCCCCAGGGCCTTTGCACTGGCCTTTTGGTCCTTGGAAAGCCTTTCCCCAGATATTTTCAGAGCTCACTCCTGACTTCTTCCTCAGGAATGTCACCTTCTCTATTTCTACTCCCTTCTCAGGACCTTCCTC